TAGTCTGTTGTACTCGTATAGGCTACCCCCTGGAAGGCAAAACGCAAATACTTTCTGTGCTTTGGAGCAATTTTCGACATGAAAGTAAGCGTTCTTGAGGTCGATGGTTGTGAACCAATCGCCCAAGCTGCCCTAGTTCCAGTAATTGGTTTACATATGGAACCTTTTGCAGACAATGTGCTGATTCAGGCTGCGAAGATCCAGAATGGGCCTGAATTCTCCTGTCTTCTTGGGAACCAGGAAGTACATGGAGTAAAGCCCCTTTTCTCTCTCCTGAGAGTGCACAACAGACACAGCCTGTTTTTGCAACAGGGCCTGAATCTCTGTCGAAAGGAAACCTATATCCTCCTGGGATGATAGATTTGCCTCTCTTAAGCCCCTGAATGGAGGAGGGACGCTGCAAAACTGGAGTGAGTACCCCAGTTTCAGTGTCCTGTCCATCCATTCTGTCAGTACACAGCTAAGCTTCCCCGTAAGACTGTATTAGGGGACCTGCAAGCAGCTGTGGAGTCGCAGCTAAGAAGCTGTAGCACTCTCTGGCGGCCCACTCCGCCGCCAAACCTTCCATAAACGGAAGATTGGCTCATGGGGGGCTGACACAGAAAGGGCCGATTTTTCTACAGAGGTCCTTGAACGCACCGCGGCCCGCCCTTAGGGGGCCGCGCGCCCCGTCATAACGCCGTCTTCACATGGACGGTGAAAATGCATCAATCGGAGCTATTACACTAGGCGAGGTGTGTTTTCTGTAACACGCCAGCCATAATGTCCCTGCACCCGCACAGCGCTTTGACAGCACTTCCTGCGGTTAATCACACTCACATGCGCGTGACCACTGGCTGCCTCCTTTACTGGAGTTACAACTGGGGCGGCGAGTGGGGGATTATGTCTCATAATTAACATCGTATGAAACGGATCTTGCCGATTTCAACGAGACATTATGGGGAAATGTGGAATTGTGGAGAGAGATGATGCAATGTAATGTAATAAATGCAATCGTTTTTACCGAATGCATTTTTCACACACACATCACTCTAGAACTAGGGTTACAATACGTAACCCACCGTTCTTACAACAGGGCCTGCATTTCTGTTGAAAGGAAACCTATCTCCTCCTAGGATGATAGATTTGCCTCTCATGCCCATGAATGGAGGAGGGACGCTGCAAAGTAGGGGTGGGCGGATCGATCCCAAAATATCGATACTTCCGATATTACGTTACATTTCAAAATATCGATACTAGAGCCAATAGGATCGATACTTTTATACTTTATTCCCCCTCTCCTCTACTCGTCAATTTCATCAAAAACTATGTGCAGACGAACACAAGTAGGCCTATATACGCTCTTTTCTTCTCTCTCCACTGCGGTCCTCCTCTCCCGAGGCTCGCGCACGCGCAGCGCGCTCCCTGCCTGAACGCCGATTATCAAGCTGAATGACAGCAGCCAGCAGGACAGCAGCAGCAGCCAGCAGGACAGCAGCAGCCAGCAGGACAGCAGCAGCCAGCAGGACAGCAGCAGCCAGCAGGACAGCAGCAGCCAGCAGGACAGCAGCAGCCAGCAGGACAGCAGCAGCCAGCGACTCGCGAGTGCGACACACGCGCATGATGGCTGAGAGAAAGAGGAGCGTTGTGTGGAGCTATTTCACAACTGTCAATGAAAACTTAGCGAACTTTGATGTGTGCAAGAAGGCAGTTCGCTACTGTGGCCACTTTGTATTGTTATTTTTCATGTTTGCACTTTAAATTTGCAAAAGTAAAATGTTTATTTGTCTATAAAAACTGTCCTGTCTTTAATCATGAAAATGAATTCAGATTTAGTCTTTATGATGCATTCAGCTCAAAAATCATGTCATGCAGCTCTCCCCTACATGAAAGTACATTAGAAGCTTTTCATTTTAAAAAGTATCGGAATCGGTATCGGCGATACTGGCCCTGAAATAATTGGTATCGGATCGAATCCAGATTTTGTGGTATCGCCCACCCCTACTGCAAAGCTGGAGTGAGTAACCCAGTCTCAGTGTCCTGCCCCTCTACTCTGTCAGCACACAGCTGGGCTTCCATTCCCCACAAAACTGTGTTCAGGGCACATGCAAGCAGCTGTAGAGCCACAGCTTAGAAGCTGTAGTACTCTCTGGTGGCCTACTCCGCTGCCAAACCTTCCATAAAAGGAAGTTTGGTCCTGACACAGAAAGGGCCGATTTTCTACTGAGGTCCTTGAACGCACTGCGGCACGCTCTCGCGGGGCCGCGGCTCTGTCATAATGCCGTCTCCTTGAAACGGACATTATGGGGAAATGTGGAATTGTGGATAGAGATGACTCTTACTCTGGGATACATGCAATCGTTTTTACTGAATGCATTTTCCACACACACATCACCCCGGACACTCTCCCGGGGGCCGTGCGCCCTCGTATTAATGCTGTGTTTCACATTCAACGGTGAAACGCATTAATCGGAGCTATTATACCAGGCAAGGTGTGTTTTTTTATGACAACAGCACGCCGGCAATAGCGTCTCTTGAACCTGCACAGTGTTTTGACAGCACTTTCTGCGGTTTATTCCCCTCACGTGCGCGCGCCCACCTGCTGGCTCCTTTACTGGAGTTCACAGCGGGGCGGCGAGTGTGGGACAGTGTTCTTTCCTCTGAGGATGAGCAAGAAGCAGCATACGCCAAGCTGCAACTACTCCTCACCCACGTGACCAAGGAAATCGATCCAAAGAGCCCTTCCGTAAACACGGGGGCTCCCAGGAGACCAACATGGTCTTTTTGGAAAGTGCCATGCGGCGTGATCCCCCAGGGACATCACACGGCAAGTAGCAGCGGCCACACCGTAGACCAAGCTACTAATTTGGCCGATGCTGCGGCCAAATAATCGCTCTGATCTGGTGAGGTGGGGGCATCTTGCGGCTCTTAGCAATGAGCGAGATGCCCAACACACCCGTGTTTATTTGCAGCCGCCCTGTCACGCGGCAGCGGGGAAGAGGCTCTCTGCCCAGCCTGCTGCCTGCAGCCTGCAGCCTGCTGTCTGCTGCCTGCTGCCTGCTGCCTGCTGCCTGCAGCCTGCTGCCTGCTGCCTGCTGCCTGCTGCCTGCTGGGAGCAGATGGGCGCTCCACCGCCATGGTCTTCACCTAGGGGAAGTACATGGACGCTGGACCTGGAAGTGCCCGACAACGGCAAACGGAGCCATCCGCCCCGCTGGAATGGCAAACGTCAATGGCACCGCCTCGGCCATATCCTGGTCCCCCAAACACTCGAAGCAGAGGTGGTGGGGATCGGCGGCCGCTATTTAACACTAGAACCCCCAATCGGGTCAATTTGACCCAGAGCTGTTTTTTATTGTATGTAACTTTTTTTCAATCAAATATTAAAGTCTCCCAGTCCGTGACTTTTCCTGAAAGTGTGTTATGTAGCACCCTATGTTGTTAAAAATTGTCAATATGAAGTCAGATTGAAGAAATTGCCCAAAATTTTTTCATTTATACGTATTTCCGCACAGCGGGTCATATTGACCCCACCCCTTTTCATATAAACATGACGTGTTGCTATAGCAACGCCTTTTGTCTACTGCGGTTCCTTATAGATTGAGAGATAGATTGAGAGAGAGAGAGATGGATGGATAGATATATTGATAGATAGTTATAGATAGAGAGAGAGAGATAGAGACAGTCTGTAGTGAAGGAGTGCGCTCCCGCTCACAGGAGACTGCTCGCGCTGCGCTCCGCAGCAAACAGCTGTGGGGCGAGTTGAAAGTACGTTATGCTGGCCGGGGTGTCTAAATAGTGCTTCCGGGCCAGCGGGCCATTTATAATGTCGAGCCCTGTCATATGAAAGGCTGAGAGTCCACAGATTCTATTGGTATACGTTTCATCCCTGTGCGATCAAAACTCACTGTTCAATAAAAGAACATTTTACCTTGAAAATCGGTATACAAAAACCTCTGGCGGTTCTAGTGTTATGCCAGGGCACGAAGGACAGGCCCGGGTCTCTTGAAGTGGCGACTCCATGAAGGTATGATAACTCTTTCTTCTTCTTTCAAACGTTTGACTTTCTCTGCTTCAGTTGTTGCTCGCTCGCTGAAGAGAAAAGGATGACAGTCAGGAGGCGTGGCCGCCTTATATACGGTGGGCTTGTGCACGCATTCAGGTAGGCCCGCCCCGAGGGCCGGCTACGTTTATAGATATCTCAGTAGGTGAATGCCCACATAGTATGGTCAAGGGGTAGTACCCATAGAGTCCAGTAGAGGGCGGAGCCTGTGTAAGATATAACCCTTGTTTTCATTATTTCTTTACTTGTTTATGGAGCAGCATTTTTTCCAGTGTGGACTTTCATGGTTGCAACAGTGATTCATTGATTTATCTCCAGTCATTTATGATGCACCCCTAACATGTTCAAGATAACAGATCCACCCGTATAAACAGGGGTGCACATAACTGGTACGCAGGTACGCATGCGCGGCAACAATCTGAAATGCGTACCGTCACTTGTGTCACAAAGCGCATTTGCGTACCGACGTACTTGTGAAGCTTTTCCAGAAGGCGGTTAGATCACCGGACGACAGAGTCGGTCTCCGTGTGCACAGACAGTGCTGCTGTTAACGTCGGTCTGTACAGCAGCCCTGCGCTAAAACAGCTGATCACAACGTTCACACGCTCCGCGGTCAGGAAGCTCTACCCCCCCCGTTGACAATCGCCAGAAGTTGGAGTACCAAACACTGACTCCAGGTACTCATCTGAGTACCTCACTGAGAAAGTTGTGTGCACCCCTGCGTATAAAAGCTCTCTGCTGATCAGTGAAGGCAGGTCTTAGCACTGTGAGCATGTCATCTGATCTGTGTCCGTTTCCTGAGCTCTCTGTAGCTAGTGTGACATTCAAGAGTTATGTTTAGAGTTCTGCAGACTGTATGCATTACCTTGTATTAAATTGCTTTAGGTCGACCGGATGGCCATCCAATCATATTCTTTCAGGCAAAATAAAAAAAAGAAAGGACTAATCACAGTCCTGCCACAGACAGATATTGGATTTTATTATTTGACAGTGCCCTTGATTTATTTATTGCTTTCAATATAGCAAAAATGTTTTGGGATCAGATTACCCACCCTATCTTTAATGCATCGATATTCATAATCCAATTTAAAAATAATATTAAAGTACATTTTGATTCTAATACTGTTGTAAAAAATACATATAAGTACAATTAAAATGCAGGAATTTTACCTGTAATTACGTTTTTCTACAGGGGGTACAGCTGTTTTTATCCAAGCAAAATATTGGAGTACTACGTCCACCGATAGAACAAGAAGAATGAACACTTGAAATGAATTGAATACACAAATATTATTATTGTCAGATCTACGTCCCGATATAGGACAAACAGTCACACACTGACAGCTGTCTTTCTTGTCCTCAGGATGTTGGACTTGCTGCATTCAGGATAGTCAGAGTGGAGGCCAGGTGTATGGATTGCTGTCATATGTGGGGTGGGGGGGTTTAGTATTATACTTATACTTATATAACATACTAAAGCAAAGTCGTCACATTAACAGAAACATAGCTATTCTACTCTCACATACTATAAATAACAACAATAATGACATCAACATGAATCAGATGTAAAGTATGAAAATGATCGGGGGTGCACAAATTCACGACCGGATTCCTGTGTCAGAGAGAGAGAGACAAAGAGAGAGAAAGTTAGACATTTTACAATTATGTCATTTTATAAAAAACTAAATCCATCATTATCATTAAGAAGTAAAGAAATGTGACCGTACATGCTTTACTTCACCTTTTAAATAATAATTTCCCTGGCCTCGTTCAAATCTTTGTTTCTGCTCAGGCATGGGCAGAAGTGTTTGCTGATGATGAATCATAAACAACTTTCTGTATCTTCTGAGCCCACTGGATTGCGCTCTGCTCAATAAAGGGTTTAAGCTCACTGAATGGCAAGCCCTTTCGATGTTTCTTTGAACCGAGATTGCCATCTAGTGGGCTGAACTACAGCTTCATTTGGAGATGACCAACCGCCTGTCCTGATTTGAACCATCTTTTTATTCTATTGCCATAATTCAATATAACCTTTTAACAAATCACATATTTTGCTGAACACTACTAAAGAGCTCTTTTATCATGGCACTAAAACCAGGGGAGGAAACCAAAGTCCCAGGATGCTTCACCAGTGACAAGTTTGGTCTTGGTGCAAAAAGTTTAGAGGGCGAACATATGAGCGAGTGTTCCAAATAATCAGAACACCTCTAAAAGGAATACAACACGTTTGTTGAACATTATGGATCTGGTCCATCCTTTTCTTCACTATTTGCAACAGAGTTGAATTGCATGTCTTAAGCGTGGTTACTACAATGACTTTCAATCAGAGTTTGTGAAATAAAAATAAGATTTACCAATAAGACCCACCTTGTTAATGAGAATTTTCTTTGAACATTTACTGTGGTCACTGTATAATGTCAGCCAGCTTCTCATGGTAGTACTCATAGTTTTCTTTGCAGTCCTCCCACAGGTTCAGGGGCTGATCCTCGTTCTCCACAAATGTCTCCCAGGCGTAGGAGAAGTCCAGAGGCTTCATCACCCGCAGCTTACAGCCAGCAGCATGCAGCGCCTTCAGCCCGTCCTGGATCTCTGGCTCCTCCCACTCAAAGAGCCGAGCAGAAAAGATGCTCAGCTTCACGTTGGTCCTGGCCTTCAGCACTTCAGCTATCTTTGCTGCACAAGCAGAGCATGGACTTGAAGACACATACCTGAGAGCAAAGTACATAAGGAGAAATGCCTTTCATTTCCAAACATGCTTACACGTCTCTGTTCATTTTAAGGATAAACAGATAAAGATGCATTTCATATATGCAGTTAGAACGTTCACATTTTTGCATGCAAGTGTGATCCTTAAGGAGACATTCACCACGTCACAGTCAGGTTTCTGTCGAAAGATACAGTTTAAAAGTGTTTATGTGAAAGAAGATATTCCGAGCGGTCCAGCTCACTGGGAGAGCAGGTGAAGACCTATAAGAGGGTTGTTCTAAAACACGAGTGGTGGGCCTTCTCTGCTGGCCTAAACACTGTCAGAATCACTAACCTTTTAATATAGTTTTTTCATTAATGTATGTATTAAATCAGCCTGCATTTACTTGGTCATTTACAACATTCTGCTCTATTTGGCTTATTGTCATTATTTATTTTGCTGACATGTATATAGTTGACTTAATCTTCATCTGCATTACTTGCACATTGGTCTGCAACATAATCTGCACTATCATTTTCTAATCTGTTTCTTCTTGCACTATTTAATTGTTTTTATCGTTTTTTGTCTTATATTGCCATTTCTACACTGTAGCTACTGTGCATATGAGATTAAAGCCTTTGAATCTTGAACTGAATACATTATTTCCAATAATCTGTTCTCTTCATTTTATAACTTTTCTCTGTGTTGCGCTGCGTCCAGTAATGGTTGTTAATGTTGGAGCTTTAATCCAATCATATTTCAGTCAGAATGTGTTGCTGGGTCAAATAAATCTGTCTGAGGCCTTCAGAATCGACCTTGTAATTTAAAACAAATGGCAATGAAACTGTTGCATTGACCAATCAGATTTAGAGTTGGCGAAACCGGGGCCATCTAGCAGGCGTACGATGACTTCGGAATTTTCACGTCCTTTGATTGGATTGTCAGTGCTACTAAACAGTGTTAAGCGTGTTTAGCCAACACACTCTGACTCCATAAACGTCCAGGAGCGATGCTTGGTCAGGGTCCCGAGGCGTGCAGTTGGGACGCTCCTAGGCTCCTTCAGCTTCATAAAGGGACGCAAATAGCTTTCAACTGATTGCAATGTATTCCCATCTGCGGCGGGATTTGACGCTCATGGAAGCACGGCATTCGTTTGTGTCGGCGGCATTTAAAGGCAATGTGAGCGTCCATTCCCATTGGATAACGGAGAATTGTACACCCAGAAGTAAGTATTCCCCTTACTGTCGATTGATTTGACAGTGATATCTGCACTACTCATCAACTCAAAAACACCAGATTATCCTTGTTAATTACACAACATTGATTGGTTTAAATTGTGTGCAATGCTTTTGTATTTTCCCCCTTCGATTCGGAGAAACAAATGTTTTTTCGGAGTTTAGGATGGCAGAAGACACTACACTACCCAGAATCCTCAGCTATCGTTTAGGACTACACCATGTGCTCTGTTTGACATACCCCGTGATTAGTTCTCAAGCTCTGTGATTGGTTGACCTCCAACTGCATTCCATATGAAAAAAAACGTTTCGTAAAAGATAAAATCATACTTTATTCAGCAGTGCTTGCTTTACTCTTTGAAAGTCATTGTAATGAATGGTTTGGCTGCATTAAATATTACACATCTGTCGTAGTTCTTTATGTATCTACAGAGATCGGGCTCAGAATAGACCGGAAACTATTCTTTTACCGTTCTGTTTTAATTTCACAATAAAGTTAGTAGTAATAATTTGTTTTGATATTATTGTTTTTTATTAACTACTAGACCGCTGGGTCATGTTAAGACCATCTTTTCTGTGTTGCTGTGGGTTTTTTACATCGCTTTTGTGTTACAAATATCAAAACAATAACAGAATATATCCGTCGTAAACTAAACCAGAAACAGCAGTATATTTTATTTTGTTAACACTGTAAACTTGACAGCTTTTTAACCCGCACCTCCTACTGGTTAAAGCACGTTATTACACGTTTAGAGTAACTGCAATGCAGGTAGATTGTGTTGCTTTTTAATGACTGTTTTAAAATGCCTTTTTCTTAATGTATTTCATTTTTGTAAAGCACTTTTGAATGTGTTATATTTGATGAAAACATTTAAATATTAAGAGTATATACAAAATAGGAGGAAAGTAGAAGGTCAATAATAGAAATATAGAATAGAAAATATCAAGAAGATACTGTAAATGGTATCTAGAATAAAACAGTTTAGTGCCGGATGTACAAAGATATTAATAGGAGGATGTGCAAAACAGACAAACTAATTAGGCTTTATTTAAACATTAAATAATACTTTAGGTTAAGGTCTTCTTTTAAATACATGTAAGCAAAAAGCTTTGGGGGTATCTATATTAAGCCTGACAAAGTACTTAACGTTTAATATATTGCATGGTTTGTTTTGGGACTTGACAATCAACTTTCCTGCAAAGTTAACTTTGTTGAAGCACTTATTTTAACTGATATTATACATATTTATTATACTCTTATAAGATGTATGTAGATAGAATAAGAAATGTGCAGAATATGACAGTTTAATGGTGGAGGTACACACATATTGATAGATCTCTTGTTGAGGAACCTATGACGCAAGTTTGTCATCATTGCATAACTACACCGTAGTTGTGTATATGATATTTCAATAAACCTTTGAGGACACGTTCGAGTCTTGATTAGGATAGTGTGCCGTCGATGGGTTTCATTCCATTTCAAAGTGCTGTTTGACGCATGTTAACTTCGCGCACTGCCACTCCAACATCCAATTACAGAGCTTGAGAACTAATCACGGGGTTTGTCAAACAGAGCACATGGTGTAGTCCTAAACGATAGCTGGGGATTCTGGGTAGTGGAGTGTCTTATGCCATCCTAAACTCCGAAAAAATATTTGTTTCTCCGAATCGAAGGGGAAAAATACAAAAGCATTGCACACAATTTAAACCAATCAATGTTGTGTAATTAACAAGGATAATCTGGTGTTTTTGAGTTGATGAGTAGTGGAGATATCACTGTCAAATCAATCGACAGTAAGGAGAATACTTACTTCCGGGTGTACAATTCTCCGTTATCCAATGGGAATGGACGCTCACATTGCCTTTAAATGCCGCCGACACAAACGAATGCCGTGCTTCCATGAGCGTCAAATCCCGCCGCAGATGGGAATACATTGCAATCAGTTGAAAGCTATTTGTGTCTGTTTATGAAGCTGAAGGAGCCTAGGAGCGTCCCAACTGCACGCCTCGGGACCCTGACCAAGTGTCGCTCCTGGACGTTTATGGAGTGAGAGTGTGTTGGTTTAGCGTGTGTAGCTACCGGTAGCGACCTGCTAGCAAACGGCATCTGTAGCGTCCTTAGCAACTACACACTCTTATTTTCGTGTAAATCTTAAGGCTTTTTAAACCCACAATGGCTGACAGCAGAGGATACATTTATTTGGTGAAGCTAGCAAGTCTGTCACAGCCGGTGAAAGGGTTTGTCCGCCACTTTCATTTCATTAACTACAGTGATACCTCTCAGCCTCAGATACCCCTTTCACACCAAGGCTTTTCCCCTTCTAGCTCCGTGCTAGAGCTTTTCTGGTTCAGAACCGGTTCTTCGGTTTAGCGCCGGCTCTTTTCACACCGCTCAGAGCCCGACTGGTGCTGCCGCTGCTGCGTCATGACGTCACAGTTTACGTCGCTGAGTTTCTCCCCAACAGAGCTCACCTCACAACAACAACGGGCCGGGGACTGCGTCGGGTCGATGATCGTGTTGCTTTTAATCATACGAAGCCAGATTAAATTAAATAACGACTTCTCCAACCTTATACTTTTCTCCAGAGTGCCGTGGTTCATTGTTTATTAATGTGTTTCAGCGGCATTTACCGACCGCTGCAGTGCTGGCTGCTCTTCAACGGGAGTGTATTCTCCCGTTAGCTCCGGGTTAGCTCACACGGCTCTAAAGTATTCACTGTCTGACTGTCACACAAGCAGCTGATACATATCCCCAGTTCCCCTTAAGTGAATGTGTGTCAGTCTGAATTGACGCTGTTTGGTGTCAGTCTGAATTGACGCTGTTTGGCATCACAACGCTGTTATGAAAGTTTCTCTGGTATAACATGGGTGATGTTAGCATAGCAACCGAAGCTAAACTGACTACTTGCTAAGCCGTTTTATACAGGCACTTTTTACTGGCGTATTTTTCATTATGATTCTACTTGTGATAGTCGGACATGACAACCTGTGCAGCCCATGTATTGATTCCATCCGATAGCTGCTATAATAACAAACAAAACGTCTGCCTGCTCTCCACAATGATCAATAACAGCGAACGGATGGTCAAAGTAAGGTACAAATAAACAGAATCACACGAAGCCTGGTTAGTGTTGCCTGACTTTATAAAGCGTGTTTTTTTTTTTACAAGTGTGTGGTTGCGTTCTAGTCACTTTGCTCAGCACTACTGCTGGTTACAACTTTTATTTGCCGTACTCGCCTTAACTGTTATCTCAGGTTAATCTCGCCCCCCTCCGACATAAGCGGTTCTTGCTTCTACACGGACAACTTTTTGGTGCTCGAAACGAACCGGATTCCGGAGCTTAGAGGCTGCTCCGCTGCGGTGTGAACAGGAAAACCCGGTGCTTTTCAAGCACCAGCACCGAACCGGCCCCGAAACACCGTTGGTGTGAATGGGATAAGAGTAGCACTGCACACTGCTGGGAATGCCTGATATTCACAACTGATCCACTGTTTGGAGCCATAGAGGGTTTGAAACTTGAGTTGTCTAACCAAGGCAGCAGCGAGACACAAAGCACTGCCGGACACTTACAAGAGTGGATCTACAGCTTAACGAACAGCAGGGAAACGGAGCTCCACTATGGTTTTTACCAGAAATACGACTGGACAGACTGGACTTTCAGCATTAGCCTCCATGGTGATAGAACAGGACTTATTATTGGAACTCTTGTTGAGGAAAGAAAGGAGGATGGATTTTGTGTACAAATAATCAATGTATTGGTGAGTAAAGGCTATAAGGCTTTAATTGAAATGTCTTGTCATTTTATGAAGTAAATATTGATGCTTCTGCTAGAGAGGATGTATGTTGTCAGCGGTGGCTGCATTGAAACTTGTTGAATTGGGTTGTTTGGGTTTCCTGCTTTAGTAATGACATTCATTCTCGCTACATAAGATACCTGTCTGTGATGCAACACCCTGTTATACTACGTTTCTTTATAATATTAATGGTTTCTATAGCTGTGACGTCATAATGATGATATTAAGAGGTGGTTTAATTCACGTAGGAAGCTACTGAAGGCCTAGGTGGGAAATACACAGCCCACTACTGTAAAATACATATGTGGTTTATTTCTGCATTGAAGATCTTAAAAGCATTCCTTCAAACGCAAGTGGCAAAAAAGAAATGGAAAAAACAACAATAAAATTGTCCCGATTGAAATAAGGTCATTTTAAATTAGCAACCTTCTCTATGCCACATACCATGTGACAGTTAAAATAAGTTACGTACCAGGTGATTGTGTATTTGAGTGCAGGGTCGTAGTGAGGCAGGCATTGTGGGAAGAAGGCCTCTTCAGCATGAGAGCCGGAGTGCTCGTCCTCCAGATATCCCCGCAGCAGCCCATCATCAGACGTCCCACAATCCACCAGGTAGCACAGGTAGGTCTTGTTGCGACCTGAGGAGTACTCCACGTTCTTGAACTGGAACTTAAAGGCAAAAGGATCAATCCGGTCCCTGTGTATAACAGAATAAATGAAAGAAACATTGGTATGTTACTTTTCATTTTTTGGCATATTTAATATTTCTCTGTTGATCTGCAGAGACAACCAACCTACCAAAAAAGTGTTTAAAGTAAAGATAGATTTCCTTCTATTGTTCAAACGAGCTATGAATGTAATTTTAACAAACAGATGAAATCATTGTCACTGTATTCATGGTGTATTATCATGGTATTTCTTCCCTAATTGTTTACTAAATATCTGAAAATAAGTAAAACTGCAGCCTTTTACAATCTTTAAGCTGGGAAACATCAGTCAGTTTTTGTCGTGAAAGAGGATATTGTGTTTTGACAGAGGAAAACATCCCCTCATAAAAAATAGTATTAATAACCAATGCAACGTGGCCACTGTCATGCCACTGGGTAGCTGTGCCTGTCGGGACTCAGGAATTAGCACATTATGTCAATGACCTGCAGATTTCTGATGGGAGGTTCCTTGAAAGGAACCCTCACAGCAGCAATGAGCTGCGGTTATTTGACCCCGATATGGACCACTTTGCCTACATTAAAAACAGGAGAACGGGCTTGGTCTTCAAACAGTGTCCCATCATCGCTGTATCTAATCATTTTAATTATTTCTCAAAAATCTATGTCAAAAATATATAAGTCATCCTTTTCATCTGTTTGTTGAAAAAATAATTTCAAAGATTTTTTGACTAAATCTTCTAACTACACTCAATCCTCAAACTATCAGTAAACCTCACAGCTCCCCCTGCCTCCCTCTTAAATGAAACATGTAAAATAATATAACAGCTACAATCATATTTCCTGAAGCATTATAAGAAAACCTGGAGGGGTTCACCTCACCAGGGGAGACAATTCCTGCAACATGTAGATGATTTGAAGATCTGCTCAACTATAAAAGACACAACATACATTTTTGAAACACTGAGATGATTAAGGTCACAAACAATTTACACAAATGACCAAGGGTTCAACAATAAACTCTCTGGGGCCCGTGTTAAGGGCGTAGATCCCTATGCCCAAATGGATAGCAGAAATCTTAATTATTCAAAAACCACAGACAATAGAGCAGATCGTGTTAATTACAGTAAAGTCATCACTATTATAAATTCTCATCAACATTAAACATTGCCAAAGAGCAGCTGCAGTACAGCTTTTATAGCATCCGGAAATTTGAAGACGAAGAGTCTAACGATTGTGTGGCAGCAATAAACAAGATGCTGAGCAACCACCTGAAACACACAGACACTTACATAGAAGGGACATCAACATCATTTGCAAAAAGCAAAAAGCAACAAACAAGATGATATTAGGAATTGCCCCAATTGTAACCAATTCCTGCCAAAACTTTTTTTCCTGATATCCAACATTTACACGGTGTAGGTAAACTACTATTGCTTGTTTTGAGAGAAATAGTTCCCAGATGTGCATGCCATGAAGAATCAACAGTGATAATAGCACACATTATAAGAACATAGTAATCATTTTGCCATCTGAAGATGTGGTCATTGATCCAAACCTGTGGAGGGCTTTACAGAGAAAAATGGCACTCAAACACTAACTGAGCACAATGCTGCTGACACAGGACAGAAGTGACCAAAGTGTCGAAACAGAAAAGATAGCACACATCAGCCCCAGCAAAGTGTTGGTCCTTTGGAAAGCCATGAACACAGCAGCCTAAAAGACATCCCTCAAAGAGGAACACTGATCAAATGCTGATATATTCTTCAGCATTCCCCTCTGTCCTAGTTCCATCCACACACAGGTGAAAGCGGCCAAACATCAACACAATCACAATCTGGAACCAAAAGATTGTCTGCTAAAGAAGGACAGCTGGAAGCATCTGAACTGATCAGATCCTCCTCATTATGGAATTTATGGTAAAGGTATTTCCTGTGGTTTAATACCTACTGGTGGACATTAACTCTCTGGGGTATGGGTTTATGTACATCTTTGAAAATATGACTTACTAGTATGTTCAGAGTAGAGGGCATTAGGTCGGCACAGCATTATAAATAGTTACAAATTATATCGGACCAAGCCGAGGAACACAGGAAAGATGCTCCCCTAATTCTAAGCAAGCTTAATCTGGCTGGGAAATTAAGCAATTTATACAGGAACAGACTTGGTTTGCACTTTATTCCGTTTTAGATCAGGGCATCTACATTACCTACCAACCCACAAACTGTCAAAAGACATGAGCATCATATTTTCCGGTAACTTATAAACATGATCATGAATTAAAATACGTGTCACATTTTTTGAAATAATAATGTCCCCAACTGATAATGGAAAGGTGGATTTTGAAGGGATGTTAATATTTACATTACCATTTGGAAAAACAAACTCAATACAACCAGCTGAGGTGAGCTCCTCTGTGTAAAGTCTGCAGTGTACCGGGTGAAGAGAAGTGGCCATGCTTTTTTATGAGTTGATCTGTTCTCTTTGTTAACATGATCTGCACCGGAGCAGCTTAGGTTTTCAGTTACAATGCAAACTCCCCCGAAGTAACCCACCGTGACAACCCTTGGTTAAACCTACAATTAGCTCCACAGCCCCAAAATATGCTTCATAGTTCACGGATCTGGTCTGGTCTGGTCTATTTTGAGAGATTTGCATATTTTCCAAAGATATGTTGAAAAGGGAGATCCTGTCTAAAGTTTCCGCGGGTCAGAGTCAATCTTGGGCGTAGCAGCAGGCCGAGCCTCCGCACAGGGCCCGAGCCCCCGCACAGGGCACAGGGCCCGAGTCCCCGCACAGGGCACAGGGCCCGAGCCCCCGCACTGGGCCGAGCCTCCGTGCTACTTCACCAGTGAGCTTTACTGGGGCCCGGTCAGCAGGATATTATATAACCACAGCACCTGTTTTTGTTTTGTAGGTCAGGCGAGCATGAAAGATGGTGTCCGGTTGAAACGGTTAGGAGGCAGATCTAATTTTAACCAATCTGCAATTGCTGATCATTTCAACTGTATGATTAGTAGATTGCTTTCCCTGGGAAGCAGTTGTTATAAAGCAGGCCAGCATACTCTTTATCTCTGCCAGTCAACTCAGTAAACGCATGTTAAACATTGTTATTATTAAAGCAATGGAATGCCCTATGTGTGTGACTTCAAAGCAGTAGTCTTCAGCTGTCATTACAGTCGGGCTTTGGAAAATCCCACTCCATCAGTTCGTTTTATTTTTTTACTACACGTGGAAAGAGGTCGACAAAGGTGGCAATTTCAGATCAACAGAAGATATTGAATATAGTCCATCACGCTATTTTATTTTCCAAACTGAAATGTATTGGTTTAAATGATGCAGAAATAAAATGGGTTAGCATGGGCTATTAATCTTCATGGATTCGGAAGAGTAAGTACTTACTCTAAAAACTATTTTCTTTATTTCATAGCAGGTACACTAACATGCACCACTCCTGCTGTTACAGTAATGATGCAATGTGGCGAATTGGGAAATTCCCATTATTCTGAATAAATTCCCTATTGGACCGGAAGCCGATTTGTCCGTTGGCCCGTTGTGTCGAGAAATATGGCCGTTGTTTCTAAGGCCCATTATCCTAAATACACACTGTCCCTAAAACAATTATTGCTATTATTGAGCAGAACTAGAAAAGCACAGAGAGCACAGACCATGGCCAACATTCTGACCAGGCATACAAGCCCAGCCCCAAACAACAAAGATCTAGCCAGCTGGGTTTGCTGAGTTACAGGAGATGCTTGGACAGCTTGAGATATGATGGTACATCCAATTATATTAGCACATTTTGTTAGATGTCTGAGTTTCTTTTGATGCAGACAGGAACTCAGACACGGTTCATGACCTGTTGAAATCTTCTTTCAACTCACTGCTGGCTAAACCCTGGGACCAACAGTTTATTTTTTTTATTTTATTGTTCCAGCTGTACACATTACAGTGGACGTCCCTCCAACCATCTTGTTACCTTGCTTAGAACCATAGCTTAGAACGAGACTCTAATGTCTCACCTACAGTTTAGTAAATGGACTGCATTTAAATAGCACTTTTCTCATTTTGACTACTCAAACACTCTTCCAACATTGACCAAGCGAGCACAACCCATTAACTGACGGTCATACAGTGGCAGTGGTGTGCAGGAACGATTAACATTCAGACACTCAGTAATGCTGAGGGAGCAACTTGGTGTTCAGTGTGTGGGACAAGTAGGCTGCTGGGGTCAGGATTGAGCCCCCGCCTTTTTATTAGTAAATGACCGACGACCTGACCCGCAGCTGCCCCTGGCAGAATCTGGGAAAAGACAAGTTATTATAACCTTTCTATTTATGATATTATTGGCCTATTTATCTTGCCAAAATATAACAATGAATTTAATTTGTAAAATTATTCAAATTAAGTAAACAAATTTTAAGCCACCATAAAACTATTAACTGACCTTAAATAAGCTTTATTACTTTTTAATTTTTTTCTTGGTCAACAGAAAAAGTCCATCCTTTTCAACAAGTACCTTTCTAAAGCGCTTGACTAAAACATTGGTCAGCAAATCATGAAAATGCTATTCCCAGTGTGCGCCCCGATTACATTCCAGACTCCTAGCTTTCTTTAACATTGACAACAAATTATTTTAAATAAACATAATATGATCAAAATAAATCACATAAACCACTATGACTCAAGTCAGTCCCATGTCATCAACCTCCAACTTAAGTGTAAGGACTAAAGTCATTTAAATGATCTCAAGTCACTTTGCAAGTCATCAAAAGAGTGACTGGAGTTGTCACAATGACTCAACGGAATATCTGCCACAACTGTGTTTCAAAAAGCACAACAACAAAATGGACGCAACTACAACAAAGTCTCTGTCCTCGCACCTTTTTTGTGGTATACACTGCAAAAGTAAGAGCAATCTGGAATTTTCCAAGAAACACAATGGTTATGGTGAAAAACACTAAGAATATTTTTATTTTATATTATTCTTATTCAAGTTAGAGGTTTGTCTAAATGTACATTTGGACACTTCATACTTACTGCAATAAAACAACACACACAATGTAATACCCAGAAAACAGGTTACATTATTTAATAGATGTGACATTGGGGGGAGGGGGGGGGGGGTTTATCATACAATCAGTGTCTGCAAAATATTACTCATCATTCTCACTATGTCACACATAGTGTTTCCTCTTTAGGCATGAGCAGTTGAAAATACAGACAGTTGAGTAAGGTCTACTTTAAGAGCATCTCATTGAAGCATGTGGATTTGTGGACCCTCTCTACTGACACTGAAAAGCAGTCACACAGTGTAATGGCATTCACAGAAAAAGACAGTTAGTAAATAACACAAATGTAAACTGAGACTGTTGGAACTCAACCTTTAACTATTGAAGTGTTTCATATACCAAAAGTAGTTTTATGGACCTACCCTTGGATGATTTCAAATGGAGGTAGTTCCATTGCCTCCACCTGAAACTCTCCATTCTGGTCGGTTGCTGCTGCTCCATTGGGGGCTCCTTCTTCAGCTCCCTTCCCCACTGCCGGAGCTCCTTGCTCGGCTTCTTTCTTCACATCCTTTACATCCTTTGACTTTTCAGTGGTCTCTTTTTCTTTTTTTTCTTTTTTTTCTTTTCTTCTCATTGGCGTGCGACTTTTATCTGCCATGGTGAAAGAACGACTGTCTAGAGAATTTGTGGGTTCAGATAGTCAGCATGGAAAGAATTCAGATGAAAAAATAAGATGTAGAAGAAGAAAGAAGACTTGAGACTTGAACATACAGCAGCCAAGCCGAAAGGAAGGGAAACCAAGTGAGGGGGAGGTGGAATGATAGAGAGGGCAGGGTCCAGCAACCAGAGACCACACGTACCAGAGAGAGAGAGTGAGAGAAGGAGGGGGGGGAGGAGATGCTAGGATCACAGCTTCACATGTTTATCCATAAACCACTTACATATTTATCTATAAAATGTCCCAGCAAGAAAACCTTTTTCTGATTAAAGCTGAGTTTACCTTCATGTCTCCAAAGGTGACTTTATAGACCTTTGAGAGGGAACACTAAATACTTGATAATGCTTTTTGGCAATATCAATCTCACATCATTTGTAAGATTTAAAGCTGTATACTGCATACAATATTGTCTATGAGCAGTTTCAATCTAAAAATATCTCTATTGGCACTGGCCTTTAAAGGTTCATATAGGTCAAACCATGTCAGATACACACAGGCAGCTGCAGCTCACACCAAGCAGGACTATTTACAGACCATGAGGGGGGGGGGGGGCAGAGGGCCCCAGCTCTTCAGTGTGGTCACTTGTGTCTGTGCTTATCGAGAGCTAAGATAGCAGCTAAAGTTATTTACTGATACATAAGACACATGCAACATTTCTGGGCAATGTGGAGAATGAACTATATAAAATTGCATACAGTGATGAATAAGCTGAACATGGCTTAAAGTTTTTAAGCCCAAGATCACCGACCTCGGCCTTGGTGAAAGGAGAGATCTACTATTGCAGAATTGAGTGAAAAAGACAGCCCAGACAGTACTTCCAATTTGAGGCCTTTTATGTAGGCTAATTGCATCTGAATTACATCAAATCATTTGGTGCAACTTCCAATTTGATTAAACAAAGAACAAAACATAACTAACATTTCAAAAAAGATCAATATATATATTTTAAACCAAATCATACCTATCATTTTGAGTTTCATTCATTCCTTCATTACAATCCTAAATATAACATGTAAAAAAAGATCAATATATATATTTTAAACCACATCATACCTATCATTTTGAGTTTCATTCATTCTTTCATTCATTACTAAATCCTAAATATAAATGTATGTAGCTTATTTTTCATTTGTTTGAGTGAACATAAAGTGCCATTTTAACTGTGAGGCTTAACATTAACATTAAAACAAGTTATTTTAACACAATTCTTAACAACAACATTCTTTATCCGTGCATAGAGCTAAGTGCAGTGAGTTCCAAAATATGCAGCATCACTTTTCACAATGCCAAAGGGCAAAACTTTGCTTTAACTGCGACTGAACGCCGCTGTCTGTGAGGGCTTTGTAGTCTGGCTCATAGCTACAGACAGCCAGTCTGAGGCAGTCTGTCAGGTGTCTGTCAGTAAGGCGGCTCCTGTACTTTGACTTGATTATTTTCATCTGTGAAAAAGCCATTTCACAGAGTTAAGTGGATCCAAAGTACGCGCTCACTTTTAGTGCACATGAGGAATTCCTCTTCCCATTCTTCATGGAAATGGTAGGTTTTCGCCTTCTTTCGTGGAGCCTCCGCCATTTTATCTAACTGTTATCTTATTTTAATATTGATGTATACAACAGTTAACGAGCCCGCTCTCTTCTCGTATCTCATTGGTCAGTAGCCTACGCATACGGCTGATTCAAGGGAGCTCGTAAAAACAAACATTAATAATTCATAATGTATTTGTGTACATCCAGGATTTTCGGGAGCGACAGGGAATGTCTCAAATATACGCCAATCAAGTGGCACCTGCTAACGGGGTGGTGGATGATAGGTTTACATCTAAAAACTTATTTTTTAAACATTATTTTTATTCTTATTTCTTTTATTTCTTTTGTTACTTTATTTTTTTTAACGGTGCGCGATCTACCCGCAGATCGCGATCGACTGGTTGGTGACCACTGGCTTGATTGGTAATGATTGGTTGAGACTAGTTGAGGAGGACCGTGGTTTAGACTTTGGCTTCCCTGGTTGGTGCACAGACTTAGACAACGTCTCTTGGCAACACGACCTCCAATCAACAATATCTCATGAGCACAATAAGCATATTGTCTGTCTTTGGTTTCCTGTTTTATTTTGAAAAGTGTTCACCCCCCGTCTTGCCTGTTGCTTCCTGTCTGTGTGTTCCCTCTTACCTGATTACCCAATTGTGTTCACCTTGTGCCCCTGTGTTTTCTCCTCCCTCCTCACCTGTGTCTTGTTTGTTTCATTAGTCCTGTGTGCATTTAGGTTCTGCTTTTTCTGTTAGTCTTTGTGAGATCCTTGTTTGTTGTTGACTGTGTTCACGGGGGAGAGCTCTGTATGTTACTTGTAGCCTTGAAATAAAGGTATTTTCTGTTAAATCTGCATTTGGGTCCTGCCTGCTTCGCTCAACCCATATAATGTAATAATAAGAATCCCTCTTGTAATGTTATATAAAAATAGACCCCACAGAATACAACACCCTCTGTCCTTGGACCCTCACATCGGACAAAGAAAAACTTCCAAAGAAACCCCCTAGTTAACCCCCCAGGACTCAGGATCCATGACTCGCGACCAGAGGAACAGGCACCGCTACGACTCAGGATCCACGACTCAGGAGCATCCACGACTCGCGACCAGAGGAACAGGCACCGCCACGACTCAGGATCCACTACTCAGGATCCACAACTCAGGATCCCGGCGTAGACAGAGACCAAAGAGAAATTTCGTTAAAGCTGGATATTCGGAACATGAGAGTACACAGGTACAGACAGAGAGAAGGAAGAAGTAAGGTGTCCCCCGACAGTCTAAGCCTATAGCAGCTAAACTAGGGGCTTAATCTAATCAGCCCTAACTATAAGCTTTATCAAAAAGGAAGGTCTTAAACTGACTTTTAAAAACGGATAGGGTGTCTGCTGCCGGAACACAAACTGGAAGCTAATCCACAAAAGAGGAGCTTGATAGCAAAAGGCTCTCGCGGACTGGGACTACAAATCAGCCGGGGACTCTCGACCGGCCCACCTCGGTACCGCAAATACTTACAGCTAGTAAACAGCTAGTGACTTATCCGAGCGGCCCACTTCAGTACCGGCCCCGATGGCCAGTCCGCCCCTGGCTCTGGCTCCCATTGTACTTTTAGAAACTCTAGGTACAACCAACAACCCTGCCGCAACATCTTGCAGGAAACAGTGTCTGAGGGCATGTTCATTTAATAAAACTATGAATGTTTTATATCCATGTAACGGGAAGAAACTCATCTAACTGATCATTTTTATATTTTTTTCAAAAGAAAACCCACAATGCTAACACTGAGCCTCTGAATTAGCAACAAGCGAAAAATGCTAACACCTTACTGCACCGAAAATCACTCACAAAACCTTATTATTTATCTTTTCACCACATCCAACACATCGTTTCACATCGTGAGGTGACACAGAATCGATTGACACCGACAATACCACTGAATTATACGTATTTGCGACGCAAAAACGGACATCAAAACAGGTGACGCTAGGTAGCTAAAAATGCTAAAATGTTTACCTTGGCTCTGTAGTCTCTCCAAAGTGGTCTTCAATGGCATTAAAACGATAAAAACGCTGCTTACCATCATCCAAGGGTGGTTTTCACTATAAGTAAAAAAGAATATTTGGACGGACACTATCATTTACAGTTTTTTACTACGTAAAATCTGAATTTTCTTTAAAATAAAAAACAAAAAAAATCTATATTGATTCTGACTTTTCTACATCCAACTCACAGGTTTATCATTACTTTGAGAAAAAAGATTATTAATTTAACCCTTTTAGAAGGGAAGATATGGTCATTTGTTCTGGGAATGTCATTTTCGAGCCTGAGACCTGAAAAACAGGCTCAGGGCTTAACAGGTTAAGATTACATTACATTACATGTCACTTGTTAGACGCTTTTATCCAAAGCGACTTACATACCTTAAGTACTGTGGACAATCCCCACAGGAGCAATTTGGGGTGAAGTGTCTTGCCTAGGGACACAACGACATGCCGACTGCAGTGGGACTCGAACTTGCTATCCCCTGATTCAAAGTTCAGCGAAATAAGTTCAGCGCACTATTTCACTGATTCATAAAAGACTGCGTACCGGCACAGGACTTGCGTACGGCACATCCTACGCCGGTTTCCCTTTATAAATCACAATCAACTCGAAATGCGGCGCAGCTTTTGCAGGCTTCACGTAACGCCCATATTTGCCTATAAATAGTCAAAGAAACGCCCATTCATTCATTCATTTTTGACTGACTGCATGAAGTAGATCGCAGGAAATGACGACAGAACAGCTAAAAAAGACATCTCACACCGTGTCAGATTTTGGTTATTTTGGGGAGGTCGAGATAAATCATATTGTTTGGTGGATGCAGTTTGAACCAGAGTGGCAGCATGGAGGTCGGATCGTCACCAAAATAAATAAATAAGTGGTCCGAAAAAAGTTAATGACAAAAAAAAATACACATAGCCTTCCTCAGGCAGTGTGTTTGTCCCGGGGACAGGAGACCCCCCCTTGATGAGAAACTGTAAGAAATGATCGGGGAATCCCTCCGGAGTGGAGTCATGACGACTGGATCTGAATAATTTTTTTGTATTTGGTGCTTTGTGTTCCAGCTGTCGATCAGCAACTATATATCCATAATCCACCAGTTAAAGGAAATACAATGTGTTGTGTTATATTAGCTGTACCACATATGGTGTTCTTAGTTTCCATACCTCCTGTGTTTTACGAGCGACTTATCAAGTAGGCTATTGACGAACGGCATAAAACATGATTAAACATGATAGTATATAAAACCATGCTCGTATCTATACAACCTATAGAAATGCAAAACGGCGTCAGTTTAAAGTAATTATATCCTTCTGTTTACCGCATCATTTATGAGAATACATTTCTTAACAAGAGAACATAATCGTATTTATTTATTTCTCCAAGTTATGTTTTTGTGTGCACTGAGGAGTCTCAAACAGGCGTTTGTTAAATCATTTTAAGATTGGCTTTAATCAATTTGTGAAAATGAATTCTTCATATTTGATAAATGAGAGGTAACATTTTATTTATG